GCAAAAGTGAAAATTTCCTTATAAATTTAGATATGTGGAAACTTAGTGCTACGAACGCTGAATATGTTGTGTTATGGAGCTAGTGATATACTCGACGTTAGTGAGGCTGTTAATTTTGATGCTAAAAAGGGTGACAGACAGGATGCTGCCTTGAGGGACGCCCTGATCTTGGTTGAAATAATCAGACAATGTCGAACGTACCCGTACTTGAAATTGTTTGTTGTTTAAAAACTGAGATATGAACTGAGGTGATCTGCCCCTCAATCCAAATTCATGTAACTCTTTTAAGATACCATGTTTCCATGTTATATCGTGTGCTCTTTTTTGAATCGAAAAAGATAGATACGGTATGTTGTTTGTTGACGATGGAATTTTTGATGAAAGATTCCAGACGCACCAGATGGTCAATGGTACTTCGTTTTTTTCGGAAACCACATTGGAGGTCACTAAGGAAGTTATTGGTCTCCAAGTACCAGATTAATCGATTGTTGACCATGCGCTCCATATTTTTACAAACACAGTAGTTAGTGATATAGGACGGTAGTTTGAGGGATCAGTATGATCCAGGTTCCGGGTTTTGGTATAGGGATGATAATGGCGTTGTGCCACGAAGGAGGAAAGTTGCCGGTTGTCCAAATGTTGTCAAATATATTGAGTAGAGTTTCCAAACTTGAAGGTGTTTCAGAAGCTGATAATGAATATCATCAGCTCCTGCTGCAGTGTCGTGAGCCTGCCCCAGGGCAGTACGTAGTTCATGGAGAGAAAACGTTTCATTGTAATCCCCACCATTATCAGAGTTACAACTGACGGATTTCTTTTCTTCTTGGGTTTGGTATTTCTGGAACTTGGGGTTATAGTTTGACGAGGAGGAGTGGTTTGCCAAAGTTTCGCCAAGTTTGTTTGCAATTTCAACTTTACTGGTTAAAAGGGAGTCACCATCTTTGAGATGGCGAACACCAGATCTGGATCCTGTGCCCTTAATCTTTTGATACATGTTCCATACCTTGGACATTGGGTGTGCGGGAGTTGATTTGGACACATATTTCCTCCATGACCAGCGTTTAGTTTGTTTAAATGTACGTCTTGCCCTGGCATTTGTCATTTTAACGGCATTCATGTTATGCACAGTAGGATGTTGTCGGAAGTATTTTTCTGCCTTCTTCCTATTTTTCCTAGCTTGTTTGCAGTTTGTATAAAACCATGGTTTGCGTATGTGCGGGTTTGCAGAGGACTTAGAAATGGTTTCGTCTCCAATAGTATTTAAGATATCAGAAGATAGTTCCATGGGATCAGGAACATTCCTGAAGTTGCCCGGTATAAGCTTTTCAGAGCAGAGAGTTTGGAATAATGGCCAATTGGCCTTAGTAAAATTCCATCTTGTTGAAGGTGGTTCATCCGCGGGAGTGTGTAAGAATAGTTGGGAAGTGGTCACTTCGACAAAGGTCATCGTGGACCGACCATTCAAACTCGTTTAAGAGATTAGAATCCGTAAGTGATATGTTCGAGTGGCAGGATGGAGGTAGGCGTTTGATCCATCGTTGAAGATGCATAGATCATTATTGGAGAGAAAATCTTCAAGGACCTTTCCCTTATTATTTGTATCAGTACTCCCCCATAGAGGGTTATGGCCGTTCAGGTCACCCATGATTATGCAGGGCTTTGGGTGTTGATCATACAAGTTCTGAAGATCTGATAGGTGAACAGTTCAGGAGGGAGGAAGATAGAGTGAACATAGTGTAAACCCTAATCAATTGGAGACGTACAGAAATCGGAGGTCAGCATCACCAGATTGGTCCATGAGCCACCGCCTTCTGTGCATGGGTCTGCAAGGCTTATTTGTTTGGGTAGAATATAAGTTAACATTTTGAACATGGCCAAAAGTGTTTTGTAATACCAACTTTTGTATGAACATTCCATGCACAGGGCAAAGCGTCACCAGCCGATTGGTAGAATCGGGCCTATTCTACCACCCGTCTAGGCAAAGTTAGGGTCGAGGTGGTGTGTTGGATTATTGAACACTATTGCCGGTTCCGTCATCCTCAACCACCAGACTCCCTTCCTCTGCCGACACAGGGATGCAACCCACGGCAAACGGGTTGCCCAATTTGGTCGCCTCTTACAACCAGCAATAGGGTGCTGTGGACCTATTCGACCCCGGGTCCACACGGGGGCGAAGAGCCATTGGCGTTACCCAGCACCCACCACGAGGAGGTTGTTCTTCAAGGGTGCCACCACCGGTAAATGAATCAGACACCAACGGTTCTGTTCTTGAAACGCCTCAGAAGCGACAAAACCCTTTCCACGTCCAGAAGAAATCTCGGCTAAAAGCAGAGTCGATTGTACAGTTGGGACAATATGGTGAGAATATATATTTTTCAGCAGTATTACAGCTGTACGATGTTGTTTGTAAACAAATCGAGCCTGGACTTGACAATCCAGTGATTGTCGCCATGCGACATACGGTCACAGAGCTTGTTTTTATGAATCACTATGAAATAGTGATGATACTAATTGCCCCACCGGTGGCACCCATCATAAACATTTGCTCATGTGTTCACCTGAAATAATTCGGGAACGTATGGAATAAGTCAGAATAGGGAATTGCATCATTTTTGTCACTGATTTGTCAAATCTTGAAATTTTCTCCACATGTCTATCATAAAACTTCTGGAAAGCTTTACGGAGACCTTGAATGTTGTAACCTTGATCACTCAACTTCTGAGCAAGAGTAGCATGACCCTCTTTGAAATCCTCATATTAGGAGCATGCTCGATTGTACCTCAAAAGTTGTGAAATCTAAGCACTAAAGGCTTTAGCAGTTGGAATCTTGAAAGGGAAGTTGAAATCATCCCTTTTGTCATACAGCCTTGTGTAGAATCTTTTTCCAATTTGAATCTTTATGCATAGATTTAAATATGAAACAGTTGAGGTGGTCTCATTTGTCCCCTAAATTTCAAGTTCAGCTGGCCAAATCAGTGGCGAGGCAATTAGCGATTTCATGGTTATTGAATGATATAAAATCATCGATGTATCCGAAGTTTAACTTCTTGGCCAAATCACACAACTTGCAGGGGAATGGTTACAAAAATGTGGCGAGATGGCTGTATCTAGTTACCCTGTTGGTAACACTTAAAACTGAGTACCCTGTGCACTATTATGACTGCAAGTCAAAGAAAACGCAACCCCACACCATCACTAAGCCACTACCAACATCTTCCGCTGCATGGTGAGATGCCTCGTCACGACGTCTCCGTCAGACCAATGAACCCGACGCCATGACCTCAAGTTGCCATATCCCCAGTGCCTTCACTATCTGTGATGAGAGAACGTCTGATCGGATGGCAAGCACTCAGACCAGTAGCCCGCAGTCTCCTTTTGATGGTACTGGTGGATAACCAGACTCCCACTATCCATTGCAGTTCTTCAACATGTGTCATGGGATTGCGTTTTGCCAGACAAATTGGGACTTTGTCATCTCGGTAATTGATCTCACAGGTCATTCTTGCCAATAACTTGCCATCGTGGTTTTTTTTCAAAGTCTACACATTGCCACAAGAAGAAAAGATCATAAAACGTGTAATGTAAGTACTGCAATTATGATTTTTTGCCCTAATGTGCTTGGCTCCTTCGCAACACGAAGCGACAAGCGACATATATATTTTGCGATATTGTGTGGAGCACATGCTTTATATGTGTATATCAGCATGATAGTGTAAGATCCCCTTGATCACCATCAAAAGACTTAAAATTGTTCTCGGATTCTGGTGATGCTTAATTAATGCTCATGCGTAGAATGACTTCAAGCCTGGAAACGTATTGTGGCTTTGTGGACATTTAAAATTTCCTTCATATGGTTAATATGCACAAAATATTGCTAGTGATGTTCCATAAATGGTGCTAATGCATAGTTTGATCGTAGAATAAGTAATAAGCATAAAGGAACTGTTTCAGCTTGGAGCCGTAAGGAGGTCAAACGTCTGTGATAACAATTCAAATTTAACAACAATTACGTTGATGGCAATTTGTGCCTAATGAAACATTCAATATTATATCTGTTCAGGTATAGTTAAAGATATTATTGGCATTTGGTAACAATTAATGCTATAATGTGTTATATATACATACATACATTAATACATGTCATGTGTTGAATCAATACATAAAACAAAAATTAATTTTACATATAGACAGTGGAAATGCGTGGATGATGATAGACACCCGAAGGTCCAAACCTTTGCATATTCATCGCCTTAATGCTTTTGTGATAATGACAAGACTTATTTCTTGAATCCTAGTACGAACTACAGCCACCTACTGAGTATCCACTTTGATGCTTCACCAATATACCACCTTGCCTGGAATAACGTCGCTGAGAATAGTCAGAATATGAAATTAGCAGATGCCACATCCACACAAAAATAAATAAATGAAACCAGTAAAAATTAAAAAAACAGACTTAAGACTTTAATAGACGCCCACATACATTAATACCTTGATTATGTTTAACAGTAATACATTCATTCTCCACTAACAGGCGCCAATGCACTTTTGTTAACTTTCAAAAATGAACTTTATGTTTTCCTTTCATACTATGTATTAAATTAAAACTGGATAGTGCCTAGACATGATATTAAAACGGCGTCCCTTCAGCAGTCGTAGATATCTTGATATAGACACTCAAACGTAGACGAAAGATTTTGTCACGTGACAGATACGTTACATCTAGAATGCCAGTTTGGGGTCAAGTTTTTACGTAATTACATTTGTCCTGCAATTTTGAATGTATTCATTTTAAAGCTTGAGCATCAAAGTTCTAAGGAAAATAAACTTGCATTAATTGGATGTTTTTTTTCACCGTTAGTATTACAAAATATTCTATTTTCGTACTTTCTGATATTTCTCCAAGTACTTTTCCACCCAAATCGATATGAGCTAGTTCTTAAGTGGTAAGGGAAGACAAGTTATTTATTATTCTAGAGAAAGCTGATTTCTACATTTTTAAACTTTATAAGGCATAATTATGAGAATATGTTGCCAGTGACGCAGGAATTATGTTTCTTGATAGAGTTGCAGAAAGTAACGTATCTGTCAAATGTTTAAAACAAGATAAAAAACAGTCTGTATTTTGAAGAAAACTAAGTCTTATTTTTACGATGTTGTCAAGAAATGTTGTCAGTTAATATGGCAGTCAATGGTTCTCCACTTAACATAGCAGTTTTCACACAAACTGAGGACTTGAGGATATTTTCGCTAAAGAAATTCTGCTTCCAGTGTGATGTATATGTTACTAGTTCGGTTCTTTGATAGCAAATCAACCATTGAAACACTAAAGGGTGTTGTCAGGTAACTGAACATATGATATATTTTATTGTCACAAACCAATTATTATGTGTCTCATTTCGCTCAGGACAAATGTGCAGTAACGTATCTGTTCCGAAAACAGTCAAGGTTTCAATGCCGGTGTATGTTAAATCACGACAAACTAAAGCAGCTGCAAGGAACTAGCATAACAATTTTACAATTAATAATTTAAATTTAAATTTACCTTAAAACTACTGGACAAGCTTCATGTTTGTTACTTTGCACGTGAAAAATACTATGCCAGGTCAGAATTGTTTCTGACGTTTTGTTGGTGGATGGACAGTGAAGGTATCTAACCCTACAGAACTTTTCCAACGTAACACTAGTCATCATGACTGCAGTAATGAAAAACTTTACATCTGGTACCTGTCTTGGATTTACAGAACTGTGAGCAATTAGTGATGGCTCTAAGAGTTGGAAGATTCTAATTAACAGATCCCTTTTCACCAAAGCTCCAGACATGATAACCTTATTTTGTTTTTGTGCGTTACCATTGCAGATGATATGCTTTGTCTAACAATCACGAAGCTGAGCAAGGAATGTATTGATAAATCATTTGGATGTTGCTTTAGACATGATTGTATGTTAATTTTTATACTGATGCACTGAAAAACTTCAGTTTATAAACAGCTTAATAAACAGATACGTTACTTTGAAAATCAGATACGCTACTAGCTGAATGATCAGAAAACATATTTGTTAATCATTTCTATTTAATCTGCAAATATCTATGCTAAACTACAAGTCAAAGAGCACCCGGTAAGCCAGAAAGGAACTGTGATGACCATCATACGTTGTTAAGTACCTATTTTCATCAGAGTCCCCCAACAAATATCTTGATAAGCTTTAAAAAAATTCTTCCTGTGTATATTTTAGCTGGTAACGTGTCAAATCACAAAACTCACACCAAATGTGTAAATAACGCACGATTTAAATGTAATTTCAGCGGGAAATTTAAAATTTGTACATATACAGACAACGAGTTACGTATCTGTTCGTGACGTATTTGTTTGGCAAAAGCGTTTCTGGGTTCGTCTAAGACAGGTGTAAACTGTAATCAGCAATTTGCAGGCTGTATTAACTAAGCAAGGTGAGGGTGTTGCATGTGTGCACAATATATGGCAGTGAAGAAGTTACGTTACCAGGTAACCTGGAATTAATCGAAATGTATCTGTTCTAAATCTCGCGTACCTGTCACAAACCAACTGAAAACATATAAATTGTTTTTTCTACACAACATTGGTAAAGCAAAACGTTTTGTTACGTTATTGTGCAGGCCTTCAGCGTCTTTGAAAAATAGATTTCATTAACAATAATCAGTTACACCTAAACACACAGTATTTGTAGTAGCAGTAACGTATCTGTTCACCTGTGTGGCGACAGCATTTGATGTTTGTAGAAATTCTTTGGAGGAAAGACATATTTTAGGCTTTTATATTTTGCACAGAGCTAGTCGTTAGCATACAAGACAATAAACTGGTTCATGCTGATTACAGATGCCATTTTATACAGAATATATCTTCCAAAGGGTGCTCTGGCGACAACATGATTTGATACATATGGCCTACTTTAGACAACTATAAAATAAAAAAATGTGGAAACATTGCCATTTGTTTTCTATTTAAAGATAGATCTCACACTGTTACATGAAAATCGACTATGATTGGTAGGTAAACATGGCTAGTTAAAGATTGAAACGATAGAGCGACACCAAATCATGGTATTGGCGCCTGTTAGTGGAGAATGAATGATTAGTTGTATACTAGATGTATAATACTTTAATAGTTATTTGTTCGGGGTGTGCGTACTAATCTGTTTTTTCAAACCTGTAAGGAACTATCATCTGAGAACTAAATCTTTCAGAAGTAATATGAGTCTTCTGTCAAATACCGTGTAGGATGAATCTGGACCTGCTCTTTCGTCGTCTCAAACCAATGACACAAGTGAAACATCAAGTTTTATGGTAGAATTACACTTTTACAGAAATTGTGGCATCTGTTCATGCGTTTTATTTTGCCATGAAAGACCAGCCACGATATGGGTTTTTTCCAGTTTAACTGTTTTTTTTATCGTCCATCCTTACATATAGGGAACATTGACTGGAATAATCCTTGAATGATGCCTATAACTAATGGTTGAAGCGTCACGCTCAAGACCCAGAGAGAGAGAGAGAGAGAGAGATTCACCGTATTATTAGGCTATTGCGATCGAATCTGGACCAGACAATCCAGTTTTCAATATGAGGAGTCAGGAGCATTGATCTATGCAACTGGGAACCAAGTTAGCGTTCCCAAATGTACTACAAACCCTATATACCTTTCCAGTAAATCATGACCCAGATATTTAGAGAAAGTTGTTAACGATTTACTTTCAGCCTGGGAATATACATATAGCAGTATACGATTTTGCTGTTCGTATTGTCTTAATTAATATCATTAATCAATAGGATTTTCTACTATATTCCTTCATATTGCTCTGTTGTTACTTTTATTATGTAACATTAGCTAAATAGTTGGTCCTAATCCAAGAAACTTGGTCCATAAATTTGCAGGAGAACACGTATGCTGTAAAGGCTTTCAATGTTTGTCTCGTGTGCTCGTGTGAAACTATACCGAAAAGTATGTTTTCCTGGATTAGAGATTTGATGGCGTTTTGACATAGCTGTATCCTTGCTTACTGAAGTGGCAAACAACGTTCGTTGAGAATATGATCCTTCGTGCAATGTACAACGTTGCTCAAATGTAAACTGGGTTTTTTTAAGCCCGAAACATAAAACAAACTATCATAAATTTAAGAACCTGAATTTAATTTATAAATTTGCTACAAAATGTCTTACTGATTTAATGATATTAAGTTGTCCGTTACGATCAACATTCATAATTTGACAGCTGTAATATCAAATGAGAATCCCTTCATTCACAACTTACTTCTTTGAACTAAAATATGTTTTCTCTGATATAATTGAAACTTCGATAATATTTAACGCTAAAATATGACAGCGTATCCTTTTCAATTATCATTAAAACATTCGGAACTTAGAGGAGGCATATAATTGTCCTTTAACAGACCGATCAACAATTATGTTTCCATACTTCCAAGCAGAAATCATGGCCGTTTTTACAACATGTCTTTCCATTCCCTGAAATACATTTCAACCTTTAAGTCATCTTGATACAATATCTGAACATGGATATTTGGGATTATTATCTAATGCAGAGTGTTATCGGTGCAATAAAGCAATCTGATAAACTTGGTATCCAAATCTGATAACTATGCAAACTAGGTCAATCCACGAACTACTTTCACAAACTCCATACACGCCATGCGAATCCTAAAACGTTTAATATTTCATTGATGACGTCGTCGCGAGTTTACATTGTTTGTAAACAAACATGGCTGCCCCAATTCTCAAAATTGGTGATTCTGTAAGAATTGATGACCGAAGTTCTGGAGTCGTTACTGCAGTAATTGACTTTGGAAAACATGAAACGGAGTACTTCGTTCAAATTGAAGGTACGGATTATGAAGTACGACTGAATGGCAATCGTCTAAGAAAGGTACCAACCAAGGATTTCGATCTATCGATCACAATACTGACGACGAATTCGTTCCGTCAGGTATCAGAAACTGATATTGATAAGGTGATTACCCACAGTGAAAATAGCAACCCTGCCCGATTTTGTTGTTGTTTTTAGACAGAAAGATCTTATTTTAAGCATGAGTTATGTTTGCACTGTATTAGCGACTAGTCACAACTATATGCCGCCGTCATGAACGACCTTCAGCTTGGTGTACCACTAAGTATTCTTACGCGAATGCTCGATTCTCTTCACATAAATTCACGTACGATTTGCTTCTATTTTTAGAGTAATTTTAAGAATGGCATTATACGATAAATAGATTATTAACTTCGTGTGTTTCCGGATCATTAATATTATATATTAGGAATAACAATTATGTATTCATAATATATGATGTTAATGATACCGAAACACACGAGGTTAATAATCTTTATATATATTTGAGAAAGGTTGAAACTTGGGTTTTTTTCGTTAGAAACGTTCGAATTGTTGCCATGATTAAGCCTTTTCCAAAAGTTTACTTTTTGCAAATAAAAGTGAATGAGTGAGTTAAGATTCAATGTCACATCGGCAATATTTCAGCCATATCGTGACTAAAACTAGTTCTAAATTCATAATACATACATATAACACCCTGTCAACGAAGAACAGTAAAGGTACTAGATTATCACAAAATGAATTAAAACTAGCTAGCATATATCTTTAAAAGCAGAAAACTATTTTGGGACAATACAATGTAAATATGGGCTACTGATCGCTAGCAACTGAAGGTAGATAACCATACTAGGGACCATGGGGACTTACAGTACTTTTGCTACCTGCATGGACCCTAGCTGGATTTATATCATCCCTTCAGCCGCTGGCGGATTTAGCCATGAATTAAAAGAACAAAAATACTACATTTAAAGAATCTGCTAATTGAAATTTACTTTAAATGTTTTAGGACTTACGTACCCTCTCAGGAAGACAATAATTTTACAATACTTTAACCCCATTTGCGGGTACAGCCACTTACAATCTAAGTTACTAATCTAAACTACTACTCATTAAAATACATCTAGCTACAGAACATATTAATCAAAATTCATCAATTAAATCATTTTTTTTATTAAAAAAACAATAATTAAATGAAAATTAACCATGGTAAAAAGATCCTTAACTGTTTTCACATTGAAATATTTATCCCTTATGATGGAGACTTCAACACAGTCAACCTTGACCGTGACTCTCTCATCTAAAGGGATACAAAACCGCAGATCCTCACCTTTTAACAGGTATTCATGAGTATATCTGGTATGACCAAAACGGCATTGTCGCATGATGACCTCTTCCAATCTGGACTGACAACCCAAGTAAGTGTAACCGATAAAAATGCAGGTGGGAGGGAGCAGGACGCTTACTTGTAAAAACGCTCCGTATAGGAATGATATATTTTCACGGGTCTTTACAATTTAATGTAAAGGCAAATCCAAAAGACTCTTTAGTCCCAAGCTCGTTGGATGTGATTAACTGATAGTGTGGCATGGCGAGGCAGGGTAACTTGGTGTTGATTGTTGTAAAATAAATCGTTAACTGGATTTTTCTGTTGAGATTTGATGTTTCATTAGCCGCGATAAACAAAAAAAACAAATAACAAACTCACCACACGGTTCTTTGCATATAAAATGTGACTAAATCGGTGATCTGAAAAACAAACAAACAAATCTGCTTCTGAATTCTTCACATGTTTCACACATTCATTTCACACTTTCATTTTCAAGAGCAATTGTAATACCTTCATTTTTGATTGCATTCATTTTTATAGTGTTTACTACGAAAGCCCTGAGGGGTCAAAACATTATTTTTTTTACTTTTCTGTTTTAATATTGGTATTAACCACTTTTTCTAGTAATTACCACTTATTAAACTGGCAATTACGACTTTTTAAACTGGTTACTACCACTTTATTTTATATATAAGAATCATTCCGGAAATGACAGCTCTCAGACTGACTGACTGACTGACTGAGTTTGGTTTTACGCCACTTTTAGCAATATTCCAGCAACATCACAGCGGGGGACACCAGAAATGGGCTTCACACATTGTTCCCATGTGGGGATTCGAACCCGGGTCTTCGACGTGACGAGCCAACGCTTTGACCATTAGGCTACCCCACCGCCCCGACAGCTCTCAGAACAACCATGGAGTCGTACACAGAATTTTTGGAATTCTTAGAGACCAAACTACATGATGCTGAAGACGTTGCAGCAAAGCTCAAACACGAAAAGGTACATTATTTACTTCACATCTCAATCCATTTTAAGTATCTAGGACCATCTGTAAAATGATTAACAATCATGACGATTAAACGCTACAAATATTCACTATACTTAAACACCACAGTAATGAGGTAAATTGGTGTATAATTAAACTCTCCATGGACGTAAAACAAACTTTAAACCTATTTTCACATCTTTTGATTAAAAGTTGAATTTATTTGTTGTCTTTTCTTTTGTTTGTAGGTTGATCCAGAAGTGATCGAACTAATAAGCAATGGGGAACTCAGCAAATATATTGCCCACCATGGAAATTGGGTGAAAGTAAGGATGTTTTTACGAGAGAGCGAAACCGAGGAAAAAGAAAGATTAAAAGAACAAACTCTTGGCAATCCTGAAAGAAAAACTAAAAAGACTGAAGAAGAGAAGGAGAACTGAAGCAAAAGAGTTAAAGTCTTTAGACGAAGGCGCCGAAATGAAGACAGACAAGAAGGATGTTGGTAAAATAAAACTTGGATGGATATATAAGATGGGGAAGAGCAGAACTCAAGTCTGAGAGAAGAAAGGGGGAGGGACACGTCTGTTGGATCTCTCCAAGAACACAACCAAAGAGGACATAATAGAAGAAGCTCATGAAAGATTTAGCATCAAAATCGCTTTCGCTCGTTTGATGCCATATCATTAACTCGTTTAAATAAATGGTATTACATGGAAGTT